TATTAAATCTTGTAAGTGTGTGTATCTCTACTAAAGAAAGAGTGGAAGTTATATCAAAGGTGTATGTTTTTATATATATATTTTTTAAGTTTCTATCTATCCCAACTTGAAGAAAGTAATAAGAAAGACACATTATAATGGTTGCTTTGTTACATGTATGCTACAACATGCAAATTTGGGATGGTTTAGGATCTGTATTCTGTTGCTTTTACTTGTACTGTTTTTTTTATGACCAGCTGATATTCTGTTGTCATAAAACATTTGAACAGATGTTAGGAAAGCAAGCAAGCAAGCAAGCATATAATATTTGAGTGATAAATGTAGTCATCATGTTGCTTTTTATACCTCTGAAGATAAAAAAATAAAGAATTTTTGCCTGTTACTGTGATTCAAATATATTTTAGGTGTAACTGTTTAACTGATTAATGCTGCACTTAATATTCATGGTAACAAATGAAAAATTTAAATATGCAGCATGTAGATAGCTAGACAGATTTTAATTTTCCAGTACCATATATCTGTACCTTTCTGTTTAAAGTGGTAATTTTGAAGATTGAAGTTGTAATATTATTGTAGGAGTGTTAACATGACCATACCATTTTCTGTATGCACCAAAGAAGAGCAGTGTGTAGTGATATGATTTTTGTGGGTTGAAAGTTTACCAGGGGCAGAAATCCATCTCAGACTTTCAGCACAATGTGGAAACAGTGCTTTACTGCAATGAAGTGTGTATGAATGGATGACCATGTTCAAAAATCGTCACACAGGTGTCACCAGTGAACGATCAGGATATCTCCCCACATCCACTACACAGGAAAACTTTGGAAAAGTCTGCCATGATTCTGGGCAATTGACAGATGAATATTGATAACATGACACTTCATCTAATAAACAATCAGGACATCTACCCATATCAACTACAGAAGAAAACTTTGAATAATCTGCCATGATTCTGGGTAATTGACTGGTGATTTTTGATAACATGGCACATCATCTATATGTCAGTTGTGGCTCTACTCATGGAATCACATAAGACCAGCTTGGGTTTCATAAAGTTTGTGTGATATGGATTTGGAAACAACTCAGGAGAACACAAGTGCAACTGTGTGATAGGCCTCCAAATTACTGTCATAATGTAGTTAACACTCATGAGAAGCACATCACTGGGGACAAGACATGGATCTACCATTATGCTCCAGAAAGCAAAAGGCAGAGTATGGAGTGGAAACATTTTACATCGCCAGTCAATAGGAAGTTCAGAACTCAGCCATCAGCTGGAAGAGTGATGTTAAAACTTTTAGAATGCACAAGGTCCAATTTTGGAACACTACCAAGAAGAGTGCAACAGTAAACATTATCTGTTACAGTGAAATACTTTAAAACCAGCAACTCAAGCCAAACACCAAGGACTCTTGTCAAAAGGTGGCTCCACATTGCAAGATAATGGCCATCTGCACACTGCCACCCACATCGTTGAAAGCCTTCGCCAACTGTACACTGAGGTGTTGAAGCATCCTCTGTATAGTCCTGATCTTGCCCCTTCTAACTGTGACTTATTCGGTCCACTCAAAGACACTTCGAGAGGCTGCAATTTCAACATTAACCAAGAAGTGAAAGGGGTGGTACTTGTGTGGCTTGTCACTTAATCCAAAATATTTTCTTCTGAGGGCTTACAGAAGCTTTTGGACCATTGGACTAAGTGTGCTGAACAGGATGGGCACTTATTTAATAAAAAATGATTGCAGATAAGTTCTGACTCACCCCTCTCCACAGTTCACTGTTAGAATTTCAGTTGACCATTCCACACAGAGAAAATGTGTCAAAATAAAGGCCATTAACCTTCGTAAGAAATTTTCAGTGGTGGAGTTTAGCCTGAAATATAGCTAAACTCAGAGATTAACATCACAGTCTTCAGAAGAGGATGATGCAGCATGAATCAGACATCCTGCATCTCATTTTTTAAACACATGGGTGAGCTAGTCCCCACTTTATTTGCGAATTTTAAAGTTCAGGATAAGCTGACTAAGGGAAAGAAGAACTTTAATTCCTTTCAGTTTGCTATTATGTATATAACTCATGTCAGCAAAACCCCTGTTTTTGAAATTCACAACGATTTTCATGCTTTATCTCCATCAACTACCTAATGACTTAGTGCAGGGTACAGTGTATTTTGGTATGAAGATACATTTTCCTCTTCATTTTCTAACAAACAATTCTTGCATGACCAATCATCACGGCTGAGTGGGAGGCTTGGAGTCTGGCCATCCTGACTGAGGTTTTTCATGGTTCTTCTCAGTCCCTCCAGGATAATGCCAGATAGTGCCTCCAATTAGGTGCATGATCCTTTGCACATTCTTTTCACTTTCTTCCTCTAATGTTTCTATTATTTTATGCTGTTTAATGAAAATAATTATTTATCTGTGTATTTGATTACACTGTCAGTAATTCAGCATTAATTGATAGTGAATAATGAATTGGGAAGGATGTGGAAGGAAGTGACTGCAGCCTGATTTAAACTACTATCCTAGCATTGCTTTCAAAAGACTAAGAAAACCCATAAGAAACTCCTCCTGCATACAAGTCTGGAGCATTGCCACCTGAGCCAACTTGCTTGGTAAACTAAGCTATTAAAAGCCTTACAAATTAAACCATGAATAAATTAAAAAATAAACAGCTCCATTCACCTTTTTCAGTTTCAGTGTTTGGCCCAGAGTTTGTTGGCAGTTCTTTTCTGTTGTGACATACAGCCCTGTACCACTGTTAATTTTTTGTTATGCAGGTCTAAAATGGGTGGAGGTAATGAAAAGTAGTTTGTCTATCACCACCATCTTGAGGTGTGTGAGCTGTGCCCAAACAGTCTGCCTTGACACTGTTGGTAGCAGCATTGGTTTCCTTTCACAGAGGAAAGGGATAACAAATATCAGGGAAGGTTGAATGTCAGCATCATTTCAGATTTCATGCTAAAGCTTTGTTTTGACCACAGATAATTTCTTTAAACTGAGATAAGTGTTTACTTGCTCATGATATTCTTTCAGTAATATCATCTTGTTTATTTTAGCATTAGTAGATTTGTTCATGTGGACATGACAGATAAATGTATGCAGGTAATACAAAATATGTTCTGTCATTTTTATAATCATTTTAGTGTAGTTACAGAAAGTGACAGATTGAAAAGAATGTCATATTTAACTTTTCAAATAAGTGTGAATAAAAAAAATTGTTTTAGGGTAACTTTTGGTGAATTGAGTTATTCTAAAATAATTTAAGAAAACTACAGAAGGTGGAAGCAGAAACTCAAAGAATGGCCTTGGGAACTTTTTTGAGTACTTAAAATTATGCATGAAATATGCGTTTTATGTTTTTACATTTTGCTTAATATATGCACATGCACTGCAAATAATTATTTAAGTGGATGGCTGCTTCAAGGCAATTGTGATTCCTTGGCCATCTATCTGTACCTGTTTTAGAAGTATGAAAATCCTCGCAGTTTAATTCTACTAAAAGTTTTATTTATATTAACAGAAGGGGACACAAGAAGATTACAAATACGTAATCTAAATGCTATTTTGATTTAAAATTATTTTTAATTGAAGGTACATTACATAACATTTCACAGATCCACATCAGACATTCCTGCTTCTGGTAAGTAAAATCAGTCATGAATACCTGAAATGCCAAATGTACTAAAGCAAAACAAAGAAAATCCATTGTATGTCCATATCCCAGATATGTGAATCAAACAAGTTGAACTAGCTATTAATACTTCAGATTCTGTAAATGAAGTGAAAGCCACGTCTGTGCTCAAAATTGGAATGGAACATCATTCTGGCTTTGGTTTTCATATGATTATCAGTTATGTCATTGAAGTTTGTCAGCTTCGAAATTTTGTTTTGATTTTAAAGCAAAATGATACACTCTCATACCCCAATTTTGTGTTGTAGTTTTGAAAGAGAATTTTATTCAGCCATGTACATGCAGAATACCAAACAGATGCAGAGTATCATGTCAGCATTTGCATACATATAGATGCAGTGTTTTTTCTACTCAAAAACTTTCAGTCTCTGGGTTTCTTAGCTCTTCGTGACACTATCAGTGTAAATGGGGCAAATGCTGGAAATCAACAATTGCTTTTGGAAAAATCGTTTTCTTAGTATGCAAAGTGTTGTAAAGAAATTCAACTTTTAAGAGTGCAATGTATCCAGATATCTAAATTTATTGTGAAGCAGAAAATTCTGTTGTGTGAATCATAGTTTTGTTAAGGGATACAAACTTGAATACTTTTGCTTCCTTCTAGGACAACACCAGGACTAATAGATTCCTCATCTTGAAACATTTTGAATGGGAAATCTTTGACTGTGCCCATCTGCTTTCATGCTTGTTTCTTGCTTGGCTTATTCTTTGACCTTGAGGATGGAGGCGATATGCTCCTCTGAAACATCGGTTAACTTTCAGTGGACTACAAAGCGTGCCCTCATGTCAGTTAATGATATGAGAGCAGGCCCTTCCAGTCTTAAAGCAAGCTTAAGTAGATTTAGACTCGTGTTCACGGCTGAATGGGAATGTGGTGACAAGCTGCGAATGGATTAACATGTCATCTGGGATTGTAGACTATGAGGACCAAATGGCAACAATGATTGATTTTTTTTCCTGAGAAAAGCAAGTAAGAATTTTCCAAAGTCACGGCTCTTAAGGCTAGAGGAAGAAAGATTTGTGCAAGGCGTGTTATTTCATAAAGAAAATTCTTACATTTATGTACAAAATATTACTAGCGCACACTTTTAAAAAATAACGATGTGGCCCCTATGATAAAATAAAATGTTTATAGGACTATGCCTGTGAGGGCCGAATGGGCATCGCAAGACTTTTTTTTATTACTCATTACATTTACTTTTGAACATAAAAAAATGTCCGTGCGTTGTATGCAATTAAGACTGAGATGTCGCTATATAGATATCATAGACATTAATCCGTGGCGTGCGTACTTCGCGGTTAATGTCTTGTCGGTCTTGTCTTACTTATCTCTGATTCTTGCCTTAGTAATCGTAACGATCGTAACATCGTAACGGTCGTAACAGCTGCTGACGTGAGTGGTAAGTAATGAGAACTGCTTAATATTAATGACATCTGTTGTATTTATGTTGTTATATGTGAATTATTTAATACGTTTTTAATACCCGTAGCATATTTTAAGTGTAATATGTAGACTAGAGGTTTATTTGTTCCTTGGAACGATATATTGTTGCGTACATTTGAAGCCACGTGTTTTGCTTAATTTGCTTTCAGCCTTTTATTATGAATTTTTCTACTGAGTATTGTTCATGAGTATATTGGTCAGATATTCGTAAACACGAGATGAGCATGTAATTCGTTTTGTATAATTTCTTTTTAATATGCGTATGCGTATTTGGGTTAGTACAAAGTCCCTTGTACTGCGGCCAGTTCTGACCTATTTTACCAGCCCCAGATGAGAGGTGAGGGTGATTGGCAAGGGAAACCGAAGTACTCAGAGAGAACCTGCCCCAGCGCCACTTTGTCCACCACAAATCCCACTTGAGGCCAGACCCGGGATTACATATGCCCTTAGTAAAATAGATAGTGCAGTATGTGTTAGGTCGACTATTATTTGTATGTAGTAATTGTATGTTGGAGAGTTACGAAATTTGAAACTAATGTTACCCTTATTGTTTTAGGCTGGTTTTTATTTAATATATATATATATTTTTTGGTTGAAGGTGTGTTTTAAACTGTAAATGTTGTAATAATTGCATTCGTTTCAGTCCTTAAATATCTCGTCTGAGAAGTCCCTACATTCACAAGATGGGTAGGGAGGACAAAGCAGCTTGGAAATCTAACTATTTTACAAAGTTGGTTGTAAGTATCATATTTGATGATTTCCATGTCACGGTTGGTTAAGACAGTGGGATGTTTTAACTCCATAGCTTTTTAGTTCTGGTCTGGAATATGCTCGAGGGAATCAGGAAGAGATTGAATTGAAATGCCCAAATCTGACTTTGAATGGAAGTGAAGTTTATAGTTGAATTAGAGTAAGTGCTGTAAATATTCAGTAGTAGTCATAACTTTGAGACTCATTTGAGAATAAAGTGATCAGAGTAGTGTAAGATACTACATAACAAGGAACTTTATAAGGTTTAGGATACTTAACATTGTTAGAAGAGTGAATAACAGCACACCTTTTTGCAAAGATAGAGGTTTCTGTCATTTATTGATTACTGGCTACCAACACGAAAATATTGGCTCGGTGCTTGCAGGTGCACAAGCCAAGAATGATTTGGCCAAGGTCTGGCAGTAAATGTTTGAGAGTCTATTCATGCTTACACGAGTAGGTGTTTTCCATTGGTTTTGACTTAGTGAATAATGCTACATTACAGATGAGAAGTTAGTTGAATATTGTGAGTGGATATAAGATAGAATTATAGTTTAGGCATGTGCTGTGGAGTGTCTGCTCCTTTTGTCATGCAGTTTTCCCTTTCCAATGAGCTGTTGTGGGATGAGGTCACAGGTTACAGCTATGGAGGATCACATTTAGGAAGTTGCCAACATTTGAAATGTAATTTTAAGAAGGAAATAAAAGTCAAGTGCATAGTACTCATGATGGCAAGGGATTGGCCTACAGTTTTGTGGATGTTTGGGTGATAAATACTATATTACTAATAGGTTACAGTGGGTTAGATGGTTGGATTACCATTTGTTAGGCTATCTAATAAAACATTTCATGTATAACGTGTTTACATTGTATAATAAAGAGGTATAAAGTGACTAATTTTTCTCACAGTTTAATTCTTATGTTAGATTAATTGAGAGTTCTCATTTAATAGATATAACAGATGTACTTCGGAGGTGTTAACTGATTGCTGTCAGTCCATATTTGATGTATTGTGAGAAGACATCTGAAAGCCTGAATAGTGGGATGAATAGATGAGGCCATTGCTAGGCAGCGGTGCTGTAAACATGTGTCTGATAATGAATAAATGCAACAAAAGATGAACTGTTGGAATCAACATTTTTATGTGTGGTTTGTGCCAGAGGCTGTAGTGTGGACCAAGAGGAGAAGTTAGTTGGAGTTGGCGGTTAGCAGTCTTGAGTTGCATTGTTAGCGACATCTTACAAATGATAAAACAATTCCATTCAGAATGACTCTTGAAGCTTTTACTACTTCAGTTCTTAGTACCCTAACATGTTTCATTGAAGCTTTTACTGCTTCACTTCTTAGTACCCTAACATGTTTCGAAACATGTTAGGGTACTAAGAACTGAAGTAGTAAAAGCTTCAACAGTCACACTGGATGGAATTGTTCTATCATTTGTAATATTTTTAGAGTGACGGACCAGAATGAAACAAATCAAATTTAGCAACATTCCCTCAACAACCACTGTATTTTGGTTCGTGATGTTTGCTGGGATGATGTCACATTCAACAGCTATGTATGCATCTTGTTTGGACATTGCCAACCTTTGAAGGAACCGACTGTCCTCTATAGTTCTTTTCTCTGTTAATATTCATGTGTTTTGTCTCTAATGTGAGGGATTGCTCTGCATATTGATGGGCATGTCTGTGACGACTGTTACCTTGTCTTATATGAGGTTTGGTTATCGTTGGTTATATAGTCTGAGGATAGTATAGAATATTGTGTCTCATTTGCTCAAAACAAGGACTGTGGAGCCAGAGAAACAGCTGTTGCTAGCAAATGGCTCTGAAACATTTCATTTATAGGCAGTGACTGTGAGACAACTGGACATTGCCTGTTGCTAGGCAGCAGATTCTTAATAATGCAACAGTTGGACTACACCAGTAGAAGTGCTGTTTTTTTCCTCTGTGGTCCATGTGAAGGGGTTATAAGTGAGATGACATTCAGTGCTCGATAGAAAGTCAGACAGTGAAGAGAAGACTCTGTATGTTTTGGTTACAATGATATTTGTTGGAGTGTAATTCAGTGAAACTGTTATAATTATTGTGTTAAAATCCATTGCGAGGAAGTGACTAGTGAGAGCAGATTGAAAAGATTGTGTGCGTGCTAGAGTGATTGGTAAAATGTGGAAATCAGTAATAGTGTTACAGTTACTTGAAGCTATAATCTGTAAGTTGTCAATAAATCCAATATCCAATTCAAAACCCCATTAAGAGTCACTCAAACATGTGAAAATATTAATATGCCTGCTGCTCTCCGTTCCAGTTGTTGGGACTAAGTCCTTTGTGACAAGGCCCAATAGTAAGTCATGGCACACTCCAGGAAAATATCACATATCACAGTGACTAAGACGCAGGTTTGGATTAGTAATTGGGTTTATTAACCTAGAGGTCGTAACTACAATTAATTATTACTGCATATTAATCTCATCAGTTTATCTGCATTATACTTCACGGATTTATTACACGGGAACTATAGCAGGCTGACTGAATTATACACTCCTATCATTACACATAAATGAAATCTAATCACATTCCATGCCTATCATTGCAAACGGTGCCACACGAATTTATTTTCCTGTCTAAAAGATCATCAAATAATGCAGGAGAACTGAAATAATTGTCCATGTAAATTTTGTGTCCTAAGCCTTCTACTCTTCGAATTAGCTGGAGAACAATGCCATGTGTTGATGTAATTTCTTCTGTCGCAAGTTGCCTTTGTTTCCCTAAATAAACTGTCATGTCATAAGTATAGCCAGGAAAATCGCAAAGCCTGTAATTTTTTATACCAAATCTTTTGCTTTTCTTTGGAATATACTGACGAAAAATCACTCTTCCTTTGAACAACACTATGACTTCAACAACAGCAAGACGTTCTGATGGATTGTAAAGTTCTCAAAATTTGTTGTTCAGATTGTCATAATCTTTCTAACTTTCCAGAGCCTTTCATACTCTGGGTCATCTCAATTTGGAGGCGCTTCATTATTTTGAAAATGCAGGAATCTCAAAATATGGAAGAAACGGTCTCGTACCATAGTGTTACGGTAGAATGGAGTGTAGTGTTGCTCATCTCTTGACCAATAATCTTTGAGGGTGTCCTGTTGATGTGGCCCATTTGAATTATTATTGCCAAAAAATTATACATTTCTTCAATTGTAACGTCAGGCGGTTGAACAATGGGCCTGGAGCATTTTGGCATGCCATAAATTGGTGGAAATATCTCTTGATTTCTTGTTACAAGATTTGGAATATTTGCCAGAAAAAGGAGAGGACTGTGCTCTTATATTGGGAGCAGCTGATCTGTTGATTCCTCTCAGAGGACCAGTGAAGTCTAGTACCTTTGGCGAATCCTTGGGTCTTCTATCGTGCCTTCTCTGCCTCATTACATGATGACATATTTTCACAAGATTCACTGAACTCATTTAGTTCTTCTAACTCTTCATCAGCTTCCTCTTCCATCAGTATTTCCTCCAGTTCTTCTGCATCGAGAAGTTTTGAATATAGGGCATGTTTTTGAGGTTCCATCTTGGGGGAGGGGGTTTCCAGCTAAATCGAATAAATTATGTTGATTGACAAAGCGAGACTCTTGCCTGTTAGTAATACTTGCAAATAGTGATGCAAAGTAATTGTAATAGTAGTTGAAAAGAGTGTCAGTCCAACACTGATACCGAAAGTCACAGTGACGAAGATGCCTTTTACTCACAAAGTGATACTGGCTCAGTAGGTTTATACCTCTTCCGAGATATAAAATAAAAATGGTATACGAAGAAATATATGACAGTCTGACACCGACTTCCTAACTAATGAGAGAATGCAGATGTGCATGCAGGAACATCAATTAAAGTGCCTTTTATAATGTAGGTGTCCAGCCTAAGAAAGGCCGTTACTGGCAGGAAGGTGGGAAGTGATAAGTGTGCAGTGTATTTCAAAATACTATAGAACTTGGTGGGGAAACTGCTGGGAAATGTCCACTTGTAAAGGGTGGTACCATGATTTATGTGATTGGTCTTAAGGAGGTGCCCTGTGAGGATCATACTTGGATGGAGCTGGACCAGGATTGCACCATATGCTGGGCTTCAGTGTTAATGTTGAACCTTTAGGTTGAGCTACTTTTATATTAGATTATTTTCATTATGGAAGGAATGACAGCAGTTTATTTGAAACCAAGATCAGGCTTCAAATTATGCATCGTGATTTTAGTTTTTTTTCTCCCCCCCCCCAGTTATATGACATTTAATAATTCATTTCAAACCACAGTGAATAATTGGAAGATCAGTGAGACTTTGTTCTGCATCTAAAACATATTTGATCATATGTTATGAAGACGCTAATGTAGGCCATTATCATTAGAACATTATTACATTCTGTGTTCAGTATACAATGGGAACCGGTATAACCCACTCTGAAGATTTTGTTGAATACACAAAATTTTTGTTGTTATAAAGTTGCCTAGTAAAAGTATGAATTACCCTCAGGTGTTTTAGACAAATTTCTAAGAATATTCATGGTTATGGCAACTGGTTTGACATGGAACAACCCACAAGAACAAAAGGCCTTCAAAGTTATTAGCATTAGTGACTGATAAAAGGATGTATATTGTGCAGCAACTTTTGGATGACTACCCAAAATGTTTCATCGTGGGTGCAGACAATGTTGGCTCTAAGCAGATGCAGCAGATTCGAATGAGCCTTAGAGGTGCAGCTGTAGTACTCATGGGAAAGAATACTATGATGCGGAAAGCCATTCGAGGTCATCTGGAACGTAATCCTGCTCTGGAGAAGTGAGTAAGAAGTGGATTTTTGTGACATTTTAAAGTATTTTCATTGGGAACTTGCTGTTATAGCATTAAAAACTAAAATATTTAAATGGCCGTGTCTTTTAATGTCGCTCCTTAATGCCAGGTATCCAGAATATTTTTCTCTCCAGGAACCATGGCCTAGTCCCAGACCGAATTCCAGCTGTGTCTTCTGATATACAAGATGGGGAATGTGTGTGTAGTATAACAGTTCTGGTGTGTTTCCTTTGCTACAGATTTTTGAGAAATTTATGTGATGACCCAGCATAAAAATGCTTTTTTTATTATGTGCCAGATGGATAAAATGTAAAATGTGTGCTTTTTTGTCTTCTGCAGCTTTGACTGAAAACTTATTTTTGCTTCAATAAATTCTTGGCAAATTGTGCTTGAGATGCATGTAGATCCTCGTGTAAAGTATCTGTTATTGTTCTGTGATTTGAACAAAAATTGGATTGTTCTGAAAGAATTTTGCAATATCTAATTTGATAAAAAGAAGAATGTTTTACTTAATATATGTTTTAACAGACAGGCAGATGCTTCCTGAGGCACGGCAATTCAGTATTTGTTTGTCGAAAGACATTTCATCCACTTTTATTTTATGCCTAGATAATTTTTTGGAGAGATTTTTTTTGTGAAAATTTTAATATCCATCACGCTTATGTCACACAAACCCCATTTTAATTTAAATATGCAATGCTGATAAGGGAGGAATGAACAGTTGTGGACAACTGCAGTAATATTTGTAATTTTGTTAATGTAGAACTATTATTTATCTGAATTGTGGAGCAGATCCTGAACAGATCAAAATTGTCTGGCCACACTATTTGTGCAACTGGTAAGTGGTAGACATGGGACTAGCAGCAGGCCAGGATACCAGGAAGGAACAAATGAGGAGGTGCTGTGTCTGCACCAGTTACCTGGTAAAGGCTTCCACTGCTGTAGATCCTTCTGCTTTATTGGTCATGTTCGTACTGGTCGGTAACTGCCTCACAACCAACTCAGTGTTGCTACACGACCTACAACAATGGGGGCTTCCACACCTTACAGAATGGTTTGCCTGCAGGATTTCTCAAGACTGGTTCACTTTGGTCAGAGTTAATTTATGACTGCAGTTTACTGCTAATCAGTTCAGCTTGTTGCAAAGCCCCTTGAGGATTCCTTTGTAAAGTGTATGCATCATACATATAGCATATTACTGAAAAAAAAAATTGTGCACACTTCCCAGCATTTTATGGAACCCAGAGGTTCATTACCGTGTTCACAAGAGCCCTCCTCTGGTCCCTATCCTGAGCCAGATCCATCCAATCCAATCCTTACCATCCCATCCTGTCTAAGACCCATTTTAAGCACAATAGACCACTGTAGGTTCCCATTGGTCTCCTCCTGGCTTTCCCACCAATATCCTATATGCATTCCTCTTTCCCGTTTGTACTACATGCCCTGCCCATCTCAACCTGCTTGGCTTGATCATTATAATTATACTTGGAGAAGGGTACAAGTTATGAAGCTCCTCATTATGCAGTTTTCTCCAGCCTCTTGTCACTTCACCTCTCTTCAGTCCAAATATTCTCAACACCCTTTTCTTGAACACCTTCAGTCTTTGTTCCTTCCTCAATGATAGAGACCACATTTCACACCCACACAGAACCAGAGGCAAAAATTGTGGTTTTGTACATTCTAATTTTTATGATTCTAGACAGCAGACGAGAGGACTGCCCCTATGGTCTAGTGGTCAGAGTTCCTGACTACAGATCTTGAGGTCGTTAGATTCCCAACACTACACTGAAATTAATGGGCGTGGGGATTCGTTGCGCTGGCCACATGATATCCTCTCTCCGCTAAAGTTGGCACTAACTTCGCCAACAAGTGGTGGTTGCTTGCAGATTACATACCATGTACTTTTTTTTTTAGACAGCAGACAAGAAGACAACAGGTTCTGGACCAAATGGAGCAAGCATTACAAGGAATAATTATATAATAATTGTAAATGTTACCTCTTTTCATCCACTTCCTTGAGCTTAATATATTGCTTTGGAGGTCAGTATAAAAGAGGAAATCAATTACTTTGGTAGACTGAAGTCCCTGGCTATTGATGGGACTTACAGATCTCCTCAGAATACACAACTTTTCTAAAAAAAATTACAGTGTTCAACTTTGATTCTAAATCTGATTCTGATTCATTTTTGAAATTTGTCTGTTATTGCACAGACTGTCCAGGTCACACATTGTTTTCTCTACAGTGTGTTTTATAATGCTATCTCCTTCATTGTGTGTTTGACTTCCTGGTGCTGCTTAAGGTTGAACTGTATGATTATTAATCCGTTCATATGACTGGATGCGTTTTTTTTATGCAGAATTGTCTTTCCTGCAGAGATGGGGATTCAATTCAGTCTGAGATAAGATTGGAACAAGAATTTGGACAAATTTTGCGAATTAAGATGAGAAGGAGAATTTGCTCTAGTAGTCCAATTTTGTAATTGAACAATCATACCCCAAGTTACAGCACTTTGTACTTAACGCACAATTTGAATTTGTCATATCCCCCAAAGTTGTGCTTGCTTTTGACTTAATGGCTCTTCGCCAGCATGACATCACAGCCTGATCGGCTTCCAACTGCTGGTGTTGCTATCAGTTTACAAACACAGTTCACATTACATCTCTTTGTGTTGTGTTACCCTCTGTGATTAAGTGAATAATAAAATGTTAACAACTTTAATTTTACCATTTTGATGTGATTAAAACATTGAATAACTTAATAATAGATAGAAGTTAAAAGGAAGAGATGTAAGAGTGTTGTGTGTTATGCTGTGTGATTAGCCTAGGCCTAAGTGAATATTAAACTGTTTATAGCTGTTATTTTACTGTTTTTGTTATTAAAATATAAAGTAACTTAATATAATGACAGATAAAAGAGAAAGGTTGTAAGGCGTATTACATTACATCCAAAATTAAATGGATTAAACTTAACAAAGAAGCTGTATCTCAAATTGGGATACACCAGAGGTTAGGATTCCTTCACAGTACTGTTAACACTGTGATTAAAAAAAAAGTCTTGCTGAAGTTAAAAGTTCTACTCCAGTGAACACTACTATAGTCAGGAAAGGGAAATAGTCTCTTAATGGTCTAGTTGCCATATTCCCTCAAACCAGGCCATTATTCAAAATGAAGCCCAAAACCTTTTCAGTGACATGAAGGCTAAGAAAGGTGAGGCAGTGAAGGATGCTGAATTTTGAGCAAGCGATGGATGAATTGATGGGTTCAGGAAGAGGTCAAGCCAACATTATATCAGAGTGCAAGGAGACGAGCATGAGCCACAGTTCTTATGGCAGGAACTGACCGCAGAACTACCGGCTGCTCCCCGCCTGCCTCCCGAGTCGACTCTGAAAGTATTCAAACTCGCATGGGAGGTCAGCCGAAGAGCGACACTGATGACGACAGGTTGGGATCTCCATGACATACAGTTCTGCATCTGCTGGTGTCATGGGAGACACTGCCTCCGAACACGCAAGATTACACAGCACACAGGCTGCAACTTCTGTATATCATGGTTACAAAGGGATGGCAAGCAGCTTTATATTACGACCAGCAATGGGCTGACGAATTCTTAGACGTAGGCCCAGAATTTTGGACACAGTTTCAACCACCACCCTGCCCCAGAGCGGCCCAGCAGAGAGCATCCCGAGCCAGGGGACAGCCCTCCACATTCCGGGTGCGGGGACAACAGGCAACCTAAGTCCGGACACTGCTGAACAAGATACAGTCCTGGTACCCGAGCTCGTCTGGGCAAGGTTTCAGACATCAGAAGATGATCATCAAGTGTGTATGGATTATTTGAATACACTTTCCTTTTTAGGTTTCCTTACAGATAGATCACACTGACTTAAGTCAGGGGACCTTATCACTCTCAACAAGAAAACGCATATTACAGGCAGTCAGAGCTTTTTGCATTAACTAAATAGTCCCAGGCAACCTAGACACAAAACTGCCCCATTTCCTAGGCACACAACAGGACTGAAATGGGGATCAACAAAGCTAAACAAAACAACCCAAGATCAATTGTATGGTGACCTTTGTTTGCAAATGAAAGCTCTCCACTTTATTGTATCAAAATACATTATAGAATGTAGTCTGTATTTATGACCTCATCAGGGTCAGTAATATGATATCAAGCATGTGGTACAACCAAAGTGGTGATGTTTCCCCCTCCCCCCATTTTCGAGGACGTTCTGCTGCACAAGCTTAGAGCAGCATTTCTCTTTATGACTGTTTAGCAGTCTCCATGTTTGGTGTGCTGGAAATGGCCACAGAAGTGGGTATCAGGTGAGTGCCACATTTGCAGTGACAGCGCAACTGGATACACAACCAGCTTTTATAGCAGTTTGTAGGTAAACACAGTAGTCTACAAGTTTGACTTCCTCTCTTGTTAGACACAGATGCCTGGAGCCTTGAACTGTTCTGTAAACTTAAAAGATGTGAAAAGAATTGAGCGTGGGAAATGAATGGCTTTTCGTGATTCTAAAATAAATGAGTGAGGTGCTTGCAAAACTTACAGGAACAGTGGAATGAGTCATATGTCCATGCTGAAAGAAGGGAGTTAACCTCTCATCCCTGTTAAGGACACTGTCACATTATCTTTATGTTACTGACAAGCTCTCATATCTTCGTTACAGGATACTTCCTCATGTGCGTGGAAATGTTGGATTTGTGTTTACACGTGGAGATCTTGTGGAAGTCCGTGACAAACTATTAGAGAACAAAGTGCGAGCCCCTGCTCGTAATGGTGCCATTGCTCCATGCCCTGTCATCATTCCAGCTCAGAACACAGGTCTGGGTCCTGAGAAGACATCATTCTTTCAGGCTCTGTCCATTCCCACGAAAATCTCAAAAGGAACGATTGAAATTATTGTAAGTAAATAGCTGTTGCATTTTTGTGACTTAGTTTTTGGTGTGAAAAGGTAGATGGCAGAAATGTTGCTGCGAAGACTGTTGGTAGAGGTTTACCCATAGAGAGATTCATTGAAATATGGTTCATAATGATAACACTGAATTTAGTATAATACTCTGTGTATTCATATTCAGTTCTTACAAGAATTTACTGTGTTTGAAGGACATCAGTAAAGTGTTTTGTTTTAATTCATTTGATAGTATATAAAGGGCCACAATAATGTTAAATGGCATAATTTTTTAATTAAAAATGAAGTGTAAATCAGAGCACACTCAACTCTCGATTATCCGGGATAATGGTGGGGATGGAAATCACGATTAATTGAAAACCCAGTTAAGACAGATTTTATTAAAAGTAGTACTTTAATACTGTACCTTCATAATACTATAGGCCTACCTGTATTTAAATTTATTCAACCTCATTTTTATGTCATCTCATGGCTTATTTAATACTTTTTTACATTATACTGAAGTATGAATTAGTTATTTCAATCACAGTGTTCAACACCATCCAACACTTTTTACGAATATTCACACTTAACACTTAAAAAAAATTAATATTGTTGTTTGCTTTTTCGTGGCATTTTCCTTTTTACGAATATCCANTCAATTGACATTTCACCATTTTTGAAATGGGAAAACCACTGAAACACTTGAGTTTTCCCCATAGCATCATCCTTGTACGCTGTTTTTAACATTTCAAGAGTTTCTGTTCCAATTTTCCCGAGCAAAAAGCAGAATTTCATTGCTGCACGAAAATCAGCCATTGCAAAAACGACGTTCACACAAAACAGTTGTCACTATAAACTCTGCCGAAACTAGTCCTTACCTTCTGAAGCAACGGTAGTCGGCTTATCGACTCAGGAATGTTAGCTCTATGCATTCATAGCGGCAAAACGCGGTACTACAAAAGCTCTGCCCACAAAAAAAATAGTTCGGTTTCTTTTGGGTACCCCATCGTACATTTGTTTCTCATAACTGCCATCTCCAGTTGAACGTGTGTAATTTTATATGGCACTACTCAGCAATTTGGTTGTTCTCTGTGCTGTTGTAGTCAACACCTGTGCCTGGCCAGGGATATGCGAGGTGAATGTTCCAATCTGGCTGCAATTCTGTCACTCTTTTCCTTGCTTAGCATGTTATTTTGCCTAGTTTAAGTTATTGTCAGCTTCATAATATAAACCATTAATAAAAAGAATGCGAATTCTGGATTACAACCTTGTTAGCAGCTCTCCCCTCTATATCCAACTGCTACTAAGAAAGAAAGGGGAACACTGCATTAGTCTCTGATTCTTGTTTTGTGTTCACAATACTCCCCTGATGAATTAGTGTGTCCAAGCTTAGCATGTATGTAATAAGAAAATCACAAACAAATATATAATAATAACACCAAACGAGAAATAACCGAATAAACATATAGTATTTGCATTAACACATGCACCCACATTAATGTGCTCCCTTAATAAGTCAGGATCACTCTTAAAAAGAAAACTCATATTACAGGCAATCAGAGCTTTTTGCATTAACTAAATAGTCCCAGGCAACCTAGACACAAAACTGCCCCATTTCCTAGGCACACAACAGGACTGAAATGGGGATCAACAAAGCTAAACAAAACAACCCAAGATCAATTGTATGGTGACCTTTGTTTGCAAATGAAAGCTCTCCACTTTATTGTATCAAAATACATTATAGAATGTAGTCTGTATTTATGACCTCATCAGGGTCAGTAATATGATATCAAGCATGTGGTACAACCAAAGTGGTGATGTTTCCCCCTCCCCCCATTTTCGAGGACGTTCTGCTGCACAAGCTTAGAGCAGCATTTCTCATTATGACTGTTTAGCAGTCTCCATGTTTGGTGTGCCGGAAATGACCACAGAAGTGGGTATCAGGTGAGTGCCACATTTACAGTGACAGCACAACTGGATACACAACCAGCTTTTATAGCAGTTTGTAGGTAAACACAGTAGTCTACAAGTTTGACTTCCTCTCTTGTTAGACACAGATGCCTGGAGCCTTGAACTGTTCTGTAAACTTAAAAGATGTGAAAAGAATTGAGCGTGGGAAATGAATGGCTTTTCGTGATTCTAAAATAAATGAGTGAGGTGCTTGCAAAACTTACAGGAACAGTGGAATGAGTCATATGTCCATGCTGAAAGAAGGGAGTTAACCTCTCATCCCTGTTAAGGACACTGTCACATTATCTTTATGTTACTGACAAGCTCTCATATCTTCGTTACAGGATACTTCCTCATGTGCGTGGAAATGTTGGATTTGTGTTTACACGTGGAGATCTTGTGGAAGTCCGTGACAAACTATTAGAGAACAAAGTGCGAGCCCCTGCTCGTAATGGTGCCATTGCTCCATGCCCTGTCATCATTCCAGCTCAGAACACAGGTCTGGGTCCTGAGAAGACATCATTCTTTCAGGCTCTGTCCATTCCCACGAAAATCTCAAAAGGAACGATTGAAATTATTGTAAGTAAATAGCTGTTGCATTTTTGTGACTTAGTTTTTGGTGTGAAAAGGTAGATGGCAGAAATGTTGCTGCGAAGACTGTTGGTAGAGGTTTACCCATAGAGAGATTCATTGAAATATGGTTCATAATGATAACACTGAATTTAGTATAATACTCTGTGTATTCATATTCAGTTCTTACAAGAATTTACTGTGTTTGAAGGACATCAGTAAAGTGTTTTGTTTTAATTCATTTGATAGTATATAAAGGGCCACAATAATGTTAAATGGCATAATTTTTTAATTAAAAATGAAGTGTAAATCAGAGTACACTCAACTCTCGATTATCCGGGATAATGGTGGGGATGGAAATCACGATTAATTGAAAACCCAGTTAAGACAAATTTTATTAAAAGTAGTACTGTAATACTGTACCTTCATAATACTATAGGCCTACCTGTATTTAAATTTATTCAACCTCATTTTTATGTCATCTCATGGCTTATTTAATACTTTTTTACATTATACTGAAGTATGAATTAGTTATTTCAATCACAGTGTTCAACACCATCCAACACTTTTTACGAATATTCACACTTAACACTTAAAAAAAATTAATATTGTTGTTTGCTTTTTCGTGGCATTTTCCTTTTTACGAATATCCATATGAAGCCTACGTAATATTAGCTTATCACTAAATAAACTGTTCTTTTCACTCTCAAGATAGTCTAGTAAGGATTGAATAGTAGCATGCAATATTTTCTTACTAGCAGCACTGTCCACTTACTACTTGTGGATGCAGTGCTGTAACTCTAATAATATGAGAATTTATATTGAAATAATCCTGTGAATGAGTAAACAATATTAAAATGGTAGGACAAAGGAGACGGTGTTTGCATGTATAGAAAATTCTGTGGTAGCACAAAGCAAAACCTGTTAGCATATTGTTTGACAACCTCCAACTCAGTTTTATGCAAGAGCAAAGTATGATGAGGATAGCTCACAGTCCTCATGACAGCAGTCATGTAAGTGAACTGTTGATAAAATGGAAGACTTCATCAGCAAAACATGGCAGGACATTCAACATGCCATGAGACAATCTGTGGTGATGGAGATCAGATTTCTGTTTTTCAGTGCATACCAAACAAAAATACTAATATAAAAAATTCCCAAAGTTGTAGCATTTACTGGATGTTAGCATTGTGTACAGTTCTGCTCTTTGAACATTTTGAATGTGGAGGGCTTAATAGTGTGTGTGAGAATTTTGGAGGGGATACAGAAGGCTCGTTTGAATAAAGATGATTAAAATTGGGAATGAGAAAGTCATGATTGTGGTGTAAATAATGGCATTTGAGGTAGTAATTAAGAACTGAATATGTATTTGTAGGTTTCTGAGAATGTGTTTGTATGATTTGTGCTATTTCTTTGTGGTAGAGTGCAAAACATGGTTACATAATTTACAGGCTTCTGATTCTGTGTTTATAATTAATAATGTGCTCAAAAATAGCACAGAATTATTTTCATATTGCATGTACTTTTCTTGTTGAATGTGTGAAGCATATTCACACATTCATTCAGTATTATCTTGGAGTTTAAAATTTGTGATGAGCTGTTCGAGATGTGTGATTGTCACTTTGCATTTTTATACAATCATTGTTAAGCATAGTGTGGAATATGTGTTTCAGATGTTAGTATGAAGTCACTGTGTTGTCTGTTTTATTACAGAATGATGTACATATCCTTAAGGAAGGTGACAAAGTTGGTGCCAGTGATGCCACCCTTCTCAACATGCTGAACATTTCACCTTTCTCATATGGCCTGCTGGTTCAGATGGTGTATGACTCAGGCACCATCTTTGAGCCTGCCATTTTGGATATCAAGCCAGAGGACCTGAGGGTCAAGTTCACAGAGGTACTGAGTTTTTTCCTCTTTTCTAACTGCAGTGAAAGTGTGTTATGAGAATTCACAACATACAAAAAATTGACACTTCAGAGATACTCATTACAGGCCGTTCAAGACCCAGGGAACATAGAAATCCCTTGTAATTTAATTGAAATTGATCAAACATTGAGTTTATAAGGGAATTAACAGTTATTTAGTAAGAAAGAAACTGCTGTCAGCGTTTCTAGACCTGGCTGTTCTCAACAGAATATGCAGTGGATTTTGGTTGAGTCCACTGAGGTAGAGCTTGTAGAGCATGCGTAGGTTGGTTGAACAAAAGCTGTTACAGTGTCTAGCTTTCCACCTGGTACATTGCTAATACAGATAACATTGGTGATGATGGTTCATGGTTCGCTTGCTCCTTCCTCACAGAATTTTCCCCTACCATGATACCATTCAGAACAGAACAATCTTGAATTACATTGATGTGATCCTTTTAAGAATGATAACTGACCTGAATTAATTCATGCATTGTGCTTGGTGCATACAGTTTTCTGTTGTGATGATGAACTCTTACCTGAAGCTGCTGAGTAACCCACTGGAGCCAGAAATGGCAGAACCCACCAGTGTGGTAGTGGCTGTGTTGACATGTGCACACTTGTGCAGTCTGAACAGAAATTTTATGTACTTGTAAGGAAGTTATCAAGGTGGTTAGTGGTTATATGTACAGAGATATTTTATATTTCTCATTGGGATGGCAGAAGAAATTTGTACACAATTGTGAATTATGAGAAGTTAACAGGCTTGTGTTTTTTATGGTTTTAAGGTATGGAAGGTTAGATCACATTTTATTGCTCTGTTAATTCTGTTTTTGGACCTGTTGAAATACCAGTTTGTGATGCAGCAGCCTTTTTGTAATGAATTAAAGAAACTACTGTTTTGTAATATTGTATTACTTTGAATATAAGAGGCCCTTGAATTAAGATACACCCAGTTTTTAAATAAGGGTTCTAGAAAAAACAATTAGAAAGATGTATTTATTTCCATGAGTTTATTTAGAAGACGACACTTAAAATAACAAAGTCTTTAGAATACATCAAAAGTGCAGAGCAGTGGAAAATATACCAGAATGAAATGGAAATTTAAAATTGTCACTACTTGCACATTCCTTTCTATCTATTTTATTTAAACAGAATGTTGTCCAGTGATCTTCCATTTGCACTTTCATTTTGTGAAGATGATTAATTTTCTGTCACATAAACAATTTCATAGGTAATGTTGAAATTTGATGTGGGAGATTTCTGCTGAAAGTTGTGGGACAGTTATGGTTCATATTGATTCATAATAAAGCCTTGTTCACGTAAGGCCATAAATATAATTTCCCATGTATCCAATAAACTGCTTGACAGACTTGGTTGAAATTTGATATGGGAAATTCACTATTAAAAAGCATCAGACATTGCTGTTGATAATTCTGTTATGGAGTACACCCTTTCTAACCTTGTTACAACTTGGTTTCAGGGTGTGGCACGTCTAGCAGCAGTTTGCTTGTCGATCAGTTATCCAACCTTGGCTTCTGCCCCACACAGTGTAATCAATGGCTTTAAGAACTTATTGGCCATTGCTGCAGCTACAGATGTTTCATTTAAGGAGGCACAGACTATTAAGGAATTCCTCAAGGTGTGTATTTCTTTAAATGTCATTTTGATCCAAAGTAGGTAAGTACTTCATATATGCATTTTTTTATCATAGAAATATCATTTCCATTTGGTACCACTTACTGTAGTGAGTATGCATGACTTCTGAGCAACAAAACAAATTGTTTTCGTTTGGGAAGATGTGTTTAAAATGAGTGAGCTAAGTTGACATGGGAAGAGTACCATCCATTTGGTGTCCTGTTATTGAACATGCACAGGTCCAAATGGCCTAGCATAGCTTTTTTACATCATAAATACCGTTATGCTCGGGTTTAAGTTTGCCAGCACCATCGTAGTAAGAGATCTAAACGCCCTTTTCCAGACAAAAAGGTTAATAGAAATTGTTTTTGTTCATCCATATGAGCATATAAATGTGTTGGGAGGTACCCTGAGAACCATAAAGAAAAATACTGAAGCTCTAATTGATGCTGATAAGGAGGTTGGTTTAGAAGTAAACGCAGTAAAAAAACTACGTATGTATTGATGTCTCATCACCAGAATGCAGAAAAAACATAATATGAAGATGACAGACCCTTTGAAAATGTGCCATTCAAGTATTTGGGAATGACAATAAATCAAATTCGATTCATGAGGAAATCAAGAGCAGGGTGAGTTCAGGTAATGGCTTGCTACCGTTCTGTCCAGAACATTTTGCCATATTGTCTGCTGTCTAAAAATGTGTAAATTAGAATATTCAAAACTATAATTTGCCTATGATTTTATGGGTGTGAACATAGACTGAGGGTGTTTGAGAACAGTGCCAAGGAGAACATTCGGACTGAAGAGCAGTGAAGTTGCAAGAGGTTGGGGAAAACTGCATAATGAGGAGTTATTAAGTTAGCTGTGTAGTGCAGTATGAATCATGATGAATGGCTCTTACGTTTGTGTTTGAAACCTAGGACAAGACTGGTCAGAAGAATATTAAATATATTATACCGACATGTTAAATATGTGAAACTTCCTTGTGAAGGTATATAAGGTAAAGTTTGTGCAGCATATTTTGTAATGGTTTTTGTGATGGTATTTTCTTTGCTCTGTTGTGATGATGACTTTTCATATGAAGCTGCTGTGTAACCCACTGGAGCCAGAAATGGCAGAACCCACCAGTGTGGTAGTGGCTGTGTTGAAATGTGCACACTTGTGCAGTCTGAACAGAGTAATCATATACCATACATTTGAAACACTTTAAATCTTGTTTTTTTTTTTTTTGTACTTTCTTCTGTTGTACAGAAAAAAAAAATGCATATGAAGTGGTACTGTCTACCTGCTCAGGTTTCTTCCGTATCAGTAGTATGCACTAAAACATCTCAAGTTCAGTTTTGTTCCTTGTCAGTTAAGTATGCCCAACCTGTAAAATTTCCCACAGAAGAAGCATTGCACGAAAAATAGTTGGTGTATTGACAAACTGTAAGAAGGCAGCATTTATATTAAATGTGGATATTTAATAGAATTTCAGGAAGTGTGAAATAATGCCTTAGTATGATTAACATTGCAACAGTAGATTTTATTGTGCAATAAATGAACTTATAGACCAATCATATAATACATGATGAAGTATATATTTGTAAGAACTGGGATAATGCACTCAGTAGAACGACTGGCTACAGGCCAGATGGGTGAGGAAATATAATCCCCTGTGTGTTGAGAATGAAGAATGTATTAGTGATTTGTTAAGTGAAGAACTCAATATAGACTGATGATGGGATGAATTTGGAAAATGAAGGACAAGTTATGAGTCAAGAATCGAGCAATGTGTCGTTGGAAAGTTAGTATCAAAGTGAAACCATTGTTGTGTGTATTGATGAGTGGGAAGATGTGAAAGAAACCCAGGGCATGCAGGGCCAAAATTTAACCTTCCAGGTGCAGAGCCCATGGATTATTTTAGATTATTTTTCAGTGATTAGGCTTTGAATAACATTGCTGTAGAGGCAAACAGGTACAAAAGACGCGGAATATTGGAACTTCAGCCTGAGGGCCGCTTAGGGTATGTGACCTGATGTCAGTTCCTGAAGTGAAGGCATTTTTAGGTCTTAATTATAAATGTCAGCCTAATCCCATTGTCTAGTGAGAGGAAAAGAAAATTTTTTGGTGACGTGATGTCCAGAGCTGCTTTTTACAGATATTTTGGATGGCGCATGTGCGGAAATGATAAAGCACTTGGGCCATCAAAAGAAGAAGAAAGTACATAGAACATATATAGAAACAGTTTCAGAAAAGTTTTGTGCCAGGTAGAAACATTGCAATAGATGACGCAGCAGTTTGGTTCAAGTGTAAAGTAGGGTTATTCGCCTGCTGTAATGTGGTACTTCAGTATGTTCATTTACAGTGAGAACACTTATTCATAATAATACATACATCATTTTTTGCAGGGTGACCATTAGGGTGAAATGATGTAAATGTGAAGTAACAAAAAGGAAAAAAAGTTAACGGTATCTCTGTAACAGGCCGCAAAGGCTCATGGGGTTGTGAGATGTCAGTGCTCCCACATTTTCTCTAAATGGCTGACAGATGGCGGTAAGGTTGTTAGAGGCTGAGTTGACCCCAGGGCCATAGTGCGCCCAGAAGGAGTAGGTAAATTGAAAAAACCCACCTTATCATGGCTCGAACTGGTGACTTTCCCCGCTTGTAGCATAGTGCCTCAACTAACTACGCTACCACATGCCCCAGTGTGAAGTATCAACAAGGAAATTTTGCTGTGTGGGCTTTATTTCTTCAGTTTGCTTTTGTTTTGATTTACCTTTAAATTAATTATGCCAATTGCAGATCTGCTCTTAGAATTTCAGTAGTTATCCAGCTAGTTCATGTAAATTATGTGTATTACAGTGTATGTTGTTTCTCTTCAGGATCCATCAAAATTTGTGGCTGCTGCAGCTGCAGTGGCACCAGTGGCTGCTGTTGCTGCTGCTCCAGCAGAGTCCAAAAAGGAAGAGAAGAAAGAAGAGAGTGATAGTGAAGATGATGATATGGGATTTGGTCTCTTCGACTAAATAGCAGTGTAACTTCTCTTTAACTGTGTAGCTCAAAATTGGCATGTATTCTAGCATGTAATGTAGTATTCGATCTGATAATTTTGAGTGCGTTGGAGGCACGGCAATGTTTGAACATTGTAATAAGAAGCTTTACTTTCGCATGATGATAGTATTGAAAATATTGTAACGTGTTTTGCTACTCAAGACGTCGTTCAGATTGTTAATTGGTTTATTTAACAACCTACAAGTCTCGGCTACAATTAATTACAACACTTACGGGTTCACACAATTTACAGCCCTATACAATAGTCTGTCCACTCTATCCTCGACAATGGGAAACGCCTCGCTTCCTTGTTGCCTAGTCGCCGTGTTTACAGGTGTTACTGGCAACGCTGTTAGGAGTTGTTTATGGCTCCATAGCAACCGCGGCATCCCTTGGTCACATCACCGCTGGCAGGGTAGGGGAAGGAGTGTTGACGTGCCTGTTACCCTAGTAATGACAGCCGCTGCCAGGGGGAGGGGTTGTCCTCCATAGTGCAACACGTCACAATATTATGGATATACATGCTGCTAACAGAATGGGATTACTTTCAGACTGAAGCTCCTGAAGCCCGAATAATACTGGTTCCATCACCACATGACCAGTATTAGTGTGGGCAGTCTCATGGCTCATATGGAAACTACACATTGAATGTCTTACTTTCTTCAAAGGCAGTTAATGTTTCCTAAATGAAATACAATATATTTACCTCAACTCATTAAACAGTGATTACATCTTATATTCACAGGTGTTTGTCTCTATTGATTTCTCTCATGAGTGACATTTTGGAATTTACTTAAAATATTCAATAAACATCTGTGTTCTTCAGGTCTTCCAAGTACAGTTATGATTAAAACCCTGCTTTTGTACGGAAGTGTCTGGAATAAATAGTCATTCAGAAATGATCTTTGAAGGCTTGTTTAATTTTGAGCTACACGATGATGAGAGCAGTTACTGTGCTCATTCGTATTTGTATGTACTGTTTGAGCCAGATTGTCATTAAAGACATTTAAAGTATGATGTTTCTTTCCTTGTTCCTAAATTCCATTCCAGTCCTATGCTCATTTTGTGTTATGGCAAAGGTAACAATTTTGTAATAGGAATGGGAAGGGATTATTAGACTTTGTCTTGCACAGCATTTGTAATATATGCTTTACGAATCAGAGCCAACACAGTTCTGTTCTTAGATGCTGTCTTGTTGGAATGCAAACAACCATTTCAGGCACTTTATAATGCCTGTTGCTTTACATTGCAGTACATTGTCTGCGGCCGTGAATGATATTAAGACTCGAGGCTGCTTTAAAATGTGAGAATATCATGTCTGTGGTACAGGGTATTAGCATTACCATAGCAATTGATTAGTGGTGAGCATGCTATGGGGGAGCAGATCGTTATAATGTGGGCTTTAATTGACCTAATCCATCTGCAGTATGACCCTGGGGTTGACTCAGCCTCTAACAGAAATGAGTACCAGGAATATTCCTGGGGATAAAGGACAGCCAGCACGTAAGGCTGACACCCTCACAGCCATCCATGAGCTGATTGTCTAGAAAATGTGGGACCATCAACATCTCAACCCTATAGGCCTCCACAGCCTGTTACAGGGATACCTTTACTTTTTTACCCACACAGTTTTCGGTATCTGCTACCTGTATCTGGTTCTGATGTGTACGTATGTCGAACAAGACTTGTTTATTAATTTTTTTACCCAGCTTTCCCTATTTTTGAAGGGTAGGATTGTGAGATCACCTTTGTCTATGTGTGTCTTATGTGTGGCCCCTTACCATTGGTAGGCATTGGCCTAGCAGACATTCCCATGATAATGAATGCACACAGCAATAGAAGAATTGTTGGTTGCATCTTATTGTCTGTGGCCAGTAGCATATCAAAGGACAGTCTGTGTGCATATGTATCCAGCCATCATTGCTGGACAGTGGCTTTGTAAACATGTTCCTCTGAAACCAAAAACACAGAAGTGGGAGAATTGTTGGATGTTGCTTGTGTTATAGGAAAGTAGACAATTCTTCCCACAACTTCCTGTACATATAAATTAAATTAATTTAGTCAAGACTAAGAAATGTTGTTTGTTATTGACTTTTTGATATACCTTCATTGCACTATGCTGAGAAAGGTCTGCGCCATAGCTCAAGCTGTTAGGCGCTGGCTTCCCACTGCGGCGGCCCTGTTTTTGATCCCGGGTCTGGTCAAGTGGGATTTATGGTATACAAAGTGGCACTGTGGCGGGTTTTCTCCAAGTGTTTCAGTTTCCCTAGACAATCTTCATTCCACCAAATTCTCCTTTATCATAATCACCTGAGGGAGGTTACAATAGGCCAATCAGTGGTTGCCGTGCCAAGTGGACCCAGTTGGACTCCACCCCCCACTAAGCGAATTAAAAAAAACACCACTCCAACTTATCTTCGACCTACTGCCGGAGATCACTGAGGGAAAATGAGTAAAGACAGTAAGCGCAATTGTTATGTAGGTCCTAAATTCCGAGTTCGAATAAAAACCGTCCAACTGTTCAGACGCCAGCGAGAGACGCTTACGTACAGAAATCGACTGTACCCAAAGCCCATCTTTTTTTCTTTGTAATCATGTGGCCTTAAAACTTGTAAATCAGTCTAAATGTGGATTGAGATTGACAAGATTTTGTTCACTATACACCCTTTCAATCTATTGGTAGAATCAAATTACCCCTTAAGATAGGAGGTACATGTAATGTAAGCGGTAGGTCTACGAGTATCGCTTAGATAGCGCACATGTTAACGAGTCTCTCGTTATATGTTTTCGGGCACTTACAACGTTTTTGAGGTTAGTCATAATTCTGTAATTATTCTAGAAGAGTCACCATTTCATGAAAACAAATGTAGCACCAAGAGCTGAATACTGTCGGTTCAAGTGATATCAAGTATTTACGCTAGTTGTATACTCTGATTAAATCGAGATAATTTGAACCTTGAGCACGTGATGCTAGTTAATATGGAATTATGCAAGGTTTTCTCTTAAGAAATATGGTAAGATTCATCCGACGTGTCCTTAGCAAATACAATGGGCGTTCAAGTTCTAAGGTCTCCGATTTCTTTTCTCAGGACTGGGAGCAGATAAGACACATGCAGTTCAGTTTAGTTTAGTTTAGTTTAGTTTAGTTTACGTGCGCACCCTTTGTGAATGCGTGACAGAGATGGCAGCACTGTACGGCACACAGAACAGAACGTAATTGTGTTGACAGGAGTCTCGGTGATTCTGAAAATGCGTCTGACATGAGGGAATTCAATGGAAAAGATGCAAATTCAGATGAGAATGCTGAGTCCATTTTCGACAAAGGTATGTGTCCATAAGTTCAGTTTAATATTAGTAGCCCATAATATGCTACATCCCATCGAAATAACCAGTTTTGACACCATTAATAAATGCGCCATTTGCATGTTGAGTATTTTGTATCAGCTAACCCAAGATTACTGAAACTTTTTCGTAGTTTATTAAACGAAAATATAAGATGGTATCGGAAAGTTCCCGGACTGTTACGTACGTTACGGCAGAGATAAATCTGATTTGCAGCCAGTGATGAATTAATTTAGCTACATGGACAGCTGAAATAGCTTGAGGCTTGATGATGTGATCCGCGAGCTGGAGACTTCCTATTAGTTCTCTTTACTGTTTTCGATTTACAATGGCGGAGTGTCTTCCATTCATTTTGCCTTGCCTGTTTTTGGGGTAAAATAAAGTAAATGAAGGATAGAGGCTGTGTGCTGTCAAACGAGAAGAGCATGAGTTTGGAAGAGATGTGGAAGTAATTGTTTGTAAGTTGTTATGGGCTACTATACTGGATTGTATTAATTAATAACATGTAATAATGACAGTTTAGTGTAATTGAAGTAAAGTTACATTTGTACCATAAGCTGACACCGTCACTTCACCACCATACCACAGTTTTGGACACGCTGAGGAGAACGATTACTTTCCCCTCCTGCGCCTTCTTGATAACCATTCGACGATGCAGAATCCGATCGTCCCGAAGATAAGCATGGTGATTATGATGTGCAGTTTGACATTTGCACAGAGACTGGGGCTGTACGCGTAGGCCACGATGAAGCCCATGGACTTCCATGTCCGGAAGTTGCAGTAAGCCGCTGCCTCATTGCCAGGAAACAAGGTACCGTACAACGCTGTGTGAAGAAAGAGCGACTAAAGTCATCATGAACATTCCGCCACGTCTACCCTCTCCGTGTAAGTGGAACAACTATAAAGTGACTATTAATATTTAGTAAATCTGTATGATATTGTCACGTGTTGGGTGTATAACACGACAAATAACTTCACGCCTTATTTGATATAGCGAATTTATTGCACATCCACTCCTACCATCACACAATTTACAATCGCAAAATTCCTGCCCTCGGCAGTATCACAAATTATCACATCAAATCTTCCAACCAAGTGCTCGGGTCTTCTTCCCGCGACTGCTGCTATATTCCAACTGACTTCGGCGGCTGCTACATTTTAACTGACTCCTTAGTCCAAGTCACATTACGACTGACGGTCAGTCAGTCAGTAAGTCTTGGTGTCGAGCCCCATCTGGGGCTCATGACTAGATATTTATTACCTTTAACAGTTACGGTCTTGTTTTTGTGGGGCGCCCTCTCTGACGAGACGATGGGTGTATCTTTTTTATGTGCCGCTGGCCCTTTCCAGTGCAGTCTTTCTCAGGCCTGAGTCCCTTGGGACTCGAGACCATATTTTACTGTCTCAGATTTGAGACTTCCCTTTTCGTCGCCTCTTACGACTCGCAGTGCTGCCACAACAACCCCGTGTGTAAAAAGGACTTGGTTCGTGCGAGTGCTCTGTGCCTAAACAACTCTCGATACACGACAGCAGTTTTTGAGAGTTTGTTTCCTGATTTCGAGAATTGTTTAGGCGCAGAGCACTCGCACGAACCAAGTCCCCCCCCTCTTTTTCCTCCCCCCAACGGGTTTGTTGTGGCAGCACTAACATAAAGTACAGTAGAGTTACATGAAATCTGAGCGGCCTCCGTAGTCTAGAGGTAACGTTCCTACCTCATGACTCGTGGTACGCGGGTTCAAATACCCGGCGGAGGTCGTCGAATTTTTAAGGGCGGAAAAATTCAGGGAACAAGTCCTCCGGGAGGGACTTTAAGCTGTGTGTCCCGTGTCGTAACTTTACGGCACGTAAAAGAACCTCATATCCCCAAAGGGGATCACTGAGCCAAATTCCAGGACGTTTCCCGCCCAACAATAGTCTCTAAGGCCTCTGATAGATGGGGGAAGCATTATAGACACCGCTAAGCAAGTGGCCGAACTCGCTTGCTCGGCGGGACTGATGTTACGCACCATTTATCGGTAGGGTAAAGAGGCTGGTAGAATATCATAGAGGGAAGCACAATAGATCAAACTGGTCGCGGTGCATGGGGAAACCCACTCTCTTTAAATAACTAACTAACTACGAGTACATGAAATCTGCATATTGGATGGCTGCCTAATTATGTGTACACTTAGGTCGCGACCAAACTGGCGTATTCAGGGAAGCTCCTTTATATGGTACCTAACCGCTATGTTGCCGCGTTATTTGACGCATGGCAGACAAAAAAACATTTCATCATATGTGACTATCAAGGCAGAAGTGGATGGTGTGAGGAAAGACGTGAGTTTCTAGTGTTCAGTAGGCGCTGCCTTTAAACATGAAAGCGGGAGTTTCAAATCTGTATGGGCCCAATCTCTCATCACACAGTCAGCCTGTTCTTGGCCATTGTGTTGTTAACATGCCTGACAAGTCATTATGCCATGCTAACATGGCAGCGCTACTCTGAAGGAATGCGCCGTAGACAACTTAATGGCCTTGTCTGCAAGCACAGTTATCCTACATTTCAGTGATATCAGCATGTGGGAATATTCTCTTTGTTGTGTTTTACTATCACTAACAGCGCCTTTCGTCTCTCTACTTCTCACGTCAGCTCTTCAACCCTATTCTTAACCGCGTGTAATAGCAAATTAATATTGTGGCGTATAGACCCGTTGCTGGTCGGTATAGTTCGCTTGCGGACTAAAACCACGGAGTTTTTTTGTTTTGTTTGTATAGACCAATTGCTAAGCGGTGACTCTGTAAACAGCGGCCGCTTGTAGATAACGCACGCAACAATAGAACAACTATATTTTGCAACCCTTTTCTAGGTAACGGATCGGTAAACACTCCTTTACAACAATGGAGTTATTGTTGGAAACAGTGATTTCTATTCGGTCCGTACAAAGTGGCTATAAGGAAGACAACTGGGGCTATCCTGTCAGAAGTCTCAGTTCTGAGACAGTAAAATATTGTCGCGAGTCCCAAGGGACTCGGACCCGAGTAAGAGTGCGCTGGCAAGTATACAAAAGACAGACCCGTCCTCTCGTCAGAGAAGGCGCCCCACAGAAACAAGACCGTAACTGTCAAACGATAATAATTAATATCTGGTCATGAGCCTCAAATGGGGCTCGACACCAAGACTTACTGACTGACTGACCGTCAGTCGCAATGTGACTTTGACTTTGACTTTGACTTTGACTATCCTGTCAGTTGAAGGTTGGCAAGATATTTGAGCTCTGCAAGGGAGCCTGACAAGAGATGACCCTACAGTGAATTGAAGGTTGAAAACATGGCTGGGAAGAGAAGAGGTAGTCGCAAGAGTGCGGCTGCGAAGAGGAGACTTTATGTATGATATTTGGAGTGTGTAATAATTCAATGAGAATATTTTAGTTCCTCTGTTGAAATCCGTTGCCAGGAAGCGGCTAGTGGAGTCTGTAACAGACTGAGGACACTAGTCCGTGTGTGTGTCAGTGATCTGTAAAGTGCAGTCACGAGTCGTGAGTGTATAAGTGAGCAATAAATCGAGTCACAAATCCAAACCCCGTCCATAGTCACACCCCTAAGTGGTGACAATATGGCTGGAGCTATACGACCGTAAACAGAGAACTCACTGGATCTCATAAACGCTTGATGTACATGTATGGGCCACGACATCAAGCAACAAACTACGAGTAGATTGCAGGCTACCGAGTTGCGATTCTTGAGTTCAGTGATTGGAACAAGACGAGATAAGATTATACATTAAGATATTAGTAACCGAATACACGCCGTAAGTGGAAAAGCCAAACACAGTGCATGACTGAGAATATAATTCCCAGGCAAACCATCAAATTCAGGAGATTAGAAGCCGTGAACTACTCAGGAAAAGTGGCAAGATCACACTTGAGGAGCCGCAAAAGATCTTAGGGCTTAATAATCCCAATACGTACGAATCATAATTTATTATTTTTCTTTTAAAAGTTTAAATATATTTTGAACTGTAACATGAAATATTTGTCTTTCTAATACATAAAGGGTAGCTTATATCTAAGACAAGTTGTATGTTTGGGGCGATCGCTTTGTTCGTCCTCCCCTTGCTTCAGCACTGCCCGCGCCATTTTGAACGTTGGAAATACTTAACCCGAGGTCTTAATTGAAGTTCCAAATAATCCAAGCCCAACAAGTCGNTATTTATTCTCAGTTTCTTCATAAATGCAATTTCTTTCTATTTTTTTTTATTTCGCATAGTGGGGGGTCCACTCGGTACTTCGGCCACTGATTGGCCTATTGTGCCTGTCCCGGATGATTATGNTCGTCTGATTGCCACTTGAACTTCGCTCAACTTCTATAATCACAGACAATACAGACAGACAGACTCTCTCTTTATTCTGATAGCGTTGCCAGAAGCTTCTGGGATGAACCTTGAGGTGGAATCCATTGGAAATGCAGAGAATGACACTGTCAGGTCTGCTACCCACATTTTGAATCTGCACTGCTTCAGATAAATAGGTTCGTGGCGTTCGTTTGTTCCATACGTAATACGTATAACAACCATATAAATCAGTCCTTATTGCCATAGTTTTATAGAACCTCTTCTGGGTATCCAGCTTTGTCTTCTTTTTTCTTTCTTCCGGGCAGACATACACGTATATTTAAATCTTCGAAGTTTTTGATTTACTTTTACTTCTACCAAATATGGGATATAACTTCCTAGAAATTTTAAATTAATTACTTGTTCTGTCACTTGATTTTCTAACATATTTTTTTATTTATTGCTAGTGGGTGGGACTAAGTCCCTTGTACTGCGGCCAGTTCTGGCCTATTGTACCAGCCCCAGATGACAGGTGAGGGTGATTGTGGAGCAATTGGTGGAATGAAGATTGGCAGGGGAAACCGAAGTACTCGGAGAAAACCTTCCCCAGTACCACTTTGTCCACCATAAATCCCACTTGACCAGACCCGGGATCGAACCCAGGCCGCGACTAACTGCTTGAGCTATGGCGCGGCCTAATTTTCTAACATATCTTTTTATGTAATCTCAGTTTCTTCATAAATGCAATTTCTTTCTATTTTTTTTTATTTCGCATAGTGGGGGGTCCACTCGGTACTTCGGCCACTGATTGGCCTATTGTGCCTGTCCCGGATGATTATGATGATGGAGAATCTGGTGGAATGATGATTGGCAGGGGAAACCGAAGTACTCGGAGAAAACCTGCCCCAGCGCTATTTTGTCCACCACAAATCCCACTTGACTAGCCCCGGGCTCGAACCTGGGCCGCCGCAGCGGGAAGCCAGCGACTAACCGCTTGAGCTTTGGCGCGGCCTTAATTTCTTTGGTATTCTCAAGAGGTGTTTTAAGATTATAGCTGTCCCTTCCCGTGCACTCTGTGGCTTTCCCTTGCTCCTTCTTTCCTAAAATTTTCCTTTCCACTTCTCCATTTTCCATCACCCTTATCAGCACGATTGCATCTTAACACCGCTCTTTCCAACCTGCCTTTGTTATATCAGCTCAGTCGGAATGGCGCTATCCCAGCTACACCTGTTTCTACCTTAGGACAGTGTATGATGATCACTGCAAGTTGTCCTCACAGCTCGGTATAGGTACGGGAGACTAGCTGGGTCGGTTTGCGTGAGTCTCAGGGTAGCGGTATTCTGGGAGTTGATCCAACTTGATGTTTATTCACTTATTGTTCTCCAGACCACACTGTTAATTTACTGTACGTTAATGCTTACGATTACAGTTTATTAATTGATCTGCAAACTGGATCTCGGAGCGTGCAAGGGTCACGTCCGTACACTTCAGAATATGGTGAAAGGCTCCCCTGTGGAAATGGCTTGCACATCCCATGCTGGGAATTCGAAAAAGAAAATCGAATTCTCCACGGTGCAGCCATATACACGCCATTCCATCTCCCGTAGTGAAGTCTGAACGAGGCAACTCAGTCATAATGGCATTTGAGTGGTCCTCATTCACAGGCAATTATAATGAGTTTTGACCTGGCTTTTTCACTGACTTTTCCAAATAAAATAGGAGCTAGGATTGATCAGCGTCAATCTAGCTGCCTTGATTTTCAGAAAGCATCGTTTGAGGAGTCGGCTGGTCAGAATAGGCTTCCTTGGGCTCAGTAGATCAGTAGTGCTTTCCAAATTCCGTTCGGCTGGCGAGATTTGATTTTTATATTTCAGCCTAATGTTCTGGGCTTACTTCCGGATTATTCTTTAAGTTATATTTATTGGTCAACCAATATTATTTAAAGTACTTTTGTATGTGCATTATTATTATTATTATTATTATTATTATTATTATTATTATTATTATTATTATTGTCTACATTTTCTTATTTATCATGGCCCCTTCTGCTTTCTGTTTAACCAGAGATCTAAACCAAGAGCCTGTATGAGCCTACCCTCCTCGTTCGCTGTATATTTCATTATTTTCTGTTTATATACGGCTATACCCATTGCGTTGCTTTTGAACTCTGTTTGCTGACTCATTGTGTAATTTATTCTGTTGGGAGAACCTCAGGCACTGATTGAAGGTGCGTGAGAGGTGGATATTAGGAGCATCCTGTGCCTTTCTCGTTTGCATGTCATTCCCTTTTCTTCTGAAACATTTTAAATCTCATATTTTCAAGTTCTTAATACCAGCAGCGTAAATTCTACCCCATCGAAAACTGAAAATTGATGAGAATAATGACCTTCTGAAAGAAATATGACGTACATTCCGAGAGCGTAAGAAAAGCTTTACATGTGTAGACCTTATGCGGAGACTCCTTTCTATTAGAATGACCTCTACACCTGGACCAATAGCTCATGTCACAGTGCTTATCCGTCAGCGGTGCAGCTGTTAAACTGAACATATTGATAAAAGATCGGCCCTTATTAGGTAGTGAAATATTGGCAACACTGAGAGCTACTGTTAGCAGTGATGAAGTCAGCCCACGAGGGAATGTAACCGCATAACTTGGAAATATAAAGATAATCGTATTCCTTCTTTTATTTCACGTGCTCCGCATACTCAAAGTCAGGAATTTGGGTCTCTGGTCGAGCGGTTTATCAAGAGGTTCCCAGAAATTGCGCACACGAAGCTGAGATATGCTATGAATAATAAGTCATAGAGCTGATTCATACTGAACGAAGATGTTGTCACGTGTCACAGTGACTGAAGATGGGGTTCGGATTGGTAATTGAATTTATTGGATACTTATATGTCATAACTACAATTAATTATTGTAATATTACTGATTTTCACACTACAAATACTCCGCGCTAAACTCTTCAGTCTGTCTGCACTAGTCTTCACGGATTTAAACACAAGAACTATCAAAGTCTCACTGAATCACACACTCCCAATATGACCGTACTACAGCACACATAAAGTCTTCAAATCGCACGTTAAATCTTCACAGACTGACTTCTTGTACTCTTCTGTACTCCTTAAGCTTACTGCTTGCTTGCTTGCTTGCTTGTTCGCATGCTTCTGCCGCTACTACTACTCGTAACATAGGAATTCTGTTCATTTATACAGCTGAGGAGCGGACACCCATCACAGGAAACACACGTCACATGATTACTATCCAGCCAGTCCATTTTCGCCCGCTGCAAACACATGTCACGTGACTACTACCTACCCTTATGTGACGTACCTTGGACACGGATAACATAGCTTCCTCTATTATTGCGTGTTGGACTATGATTACAGAGTTGTTTCCTGGCAACGCGTTGATTAAATCCGTTACAATATATTTTGTAATTCTCCGCTCTCAGTTGACTAGGAGAGGGTTACTAGCTAGAAAGTAGTTTCGCCAAAGGCTATTGAAGTGGGAGAGTGAGTGATAGTACGAGTGAGTTCTGTGGATCCCTTTCTGATAAGCTCGTATACGTCTACAAAGGTAGAAAATACATTGTCTCCAACTAGAGAGCCGATATCATCCGTGATATTATATTTAAGCATCCTGTTGCACTCCATACGATAAAAGTAGCATTCCGCACACGAAACACAATAGCAAATATACTCAAACAAAAACCACAATTAGATAAATACAATAAAAGTGGCATATACCAAATGAAATGTGTGGATTGCCCATTGAAATACATTGGGCAAACAGGCAGAACATTTAGCACTAGATATAAAGAACATATACATGATATTAGAAATAATGATAGCAATTCCGGGTACTCAAATCACATACTAAATACAGGACATGCATACGGAACAGTAACAGACGTAATGGAAGTTGTAACAACGGGAAAGAAGGGCAGACATTTGAATACATTAGAGAAATACCATATATATAAAATAAGTAAGAAAGGCCTACACATGAATGATACACACATAGAAACACACAATCCCATATTTCAAACGATACACGAAATCTATACAGACTAACGGTACCTCTCTCTCCCCACTACCCATCCCCCCCCTACACTCACCAACATAAAACTCAGCACACAGTACATCAGACAGCACACGTAGTAAAGAATAGCAGCGGCACGCACACAGAAAGACTACACAGGGTAAGTACAAATAACAATATACACACATAAGAAAACACCACATACATAAGATAGTAATACAAATATATTTGTATATTACAGATAACACCTATACAGTGTGGAAACAAGAACTAGCCGCTGCAGCACTTCAAACACAGGGCGAATAACCCTAACAATTTTAAAATTTTAAAATTTGGACAAGAATTTAAAGGTTTAAAATTAGAACTAAAGATTTTATTATGGTACTATTACAATAAACTCAAAATTAACGTGTGTGAAGTAATCTACGGGTGGACAGCTATCAACGAAGTAGAAGTTGATAATGACAGGGAGAGTGTTTTAGATGTTAAATTTTGAACTGGGTGCAGTGTGACAGCGACGTGAGTGTTATACGCCTGATGATGGCCATCTGAGGCCGAAACATGTAGTGTAGGGAGCAAGATCAAAGACACAAAATATATTGTTTGCACTTGAGACGGAGTTTATATCATTTATCATCCGTGATTCGAATTAGACACACTCACCGTTCATTTGTACCAGCCAGACGGCATCTGTGACACCCCACAGACCGGAGATGACGAAGAAAGTTACGGAGCTGTTGGCTGGGTCTGGAGTCCAAACGTAGAGGGTTACCGTTATGCCGATTTGTATGAGAGCAGCAGACAGCACCATAAACAAGCGCCCAGTCAACTTCACCAGGTACCCAGTCGAGAAGGACGCCGCAGAATTTGTCACTCCGTAGCAAATCAATACATAGCCGATATTGCTTATTCCCCAAGAGCAAGACACGTAACCCTAGAGAAAGAAAAGAACATCCATGTTGAATGACGTGCGTTGTCAGATAAAATAAACATCTAATTGCTACTTGTGATTTTCTAAAGAAGCGGGCAAAGGCCAATAAACGCAATTAATTAAGTATCGTATTTATAAGCGGCCTCCGTAGTCTAGGGGTAACGTTCCCACCTCATGGCTTAAGGTACGCGGGTTCAAACCCGGCGGAGGTCGTGGAATTTTCCCGCCCAAGCAGTTTCCAATGCCTCTGGTAGATGGGGGAAGCATCAAGGTACCGAAGGCCGATCTCGTTGGCTCAACGGGGCTGATAGCACGCACCGGTACCGGCAGGGTATGGGGACTGGTAGAATATCAAAGGGGGACGTACAGTAGATCAATGTACAATGTAGATCAACAACTGGTCGTGCTGCATGGGGAAATCCACCCCCTCCAACAATAATAATAATAATAATAATAATAATAATAATAATGAAATCGTATTTATAAACCTTTCTGGATATGTTATTGGTAGGTGTTAAACTGTTTCTACCGGTCAGATTGTTATACTGGTAAAGCTCTTGAGTCGTTTTCGGGAAAAGCTGAGTTCCATTCTCGGTAAGGACACCGGCTACACAGTTTGAGGACTTCCATGTTTTTCTCAGGCCTTAAGGAAAATGCCTGGATAATACCTCAATTAAGCCACCACCGCTTTCAATTACTTTACATTTCCTTATTCAGTTGTTATCCTGCTTTTCGACGCTACAAAATCCAGCGACTGTCAGCTTCTCAAAATGCAATACACAGATTGTTCTTGTTCGGTACTTAACATAACGATTTAATATTTCCTCTCATCATCTGAGTAAGGACGATCTCTCTGGTCTCCAGGAGTGAGTCGTCGCTGAAATATAGCTCGAGCAGTGAAAGAAAAAAATGTGTCAATTTAGTAATTGGACAAGATGATCTGGACTGCAAATACCTGAAATCTACACAGTGAAAAATGCAAAAATTAGTGCAGTGCAACCGACACTAAAGCGTGAGGCTACAGCTACACTGAAAAACTGCGGTATATTAGGAGTGGTCAAGTGTTGAAACGACAATCTCTCGTACACAGGCTAACCCTATAATCGAAGTAACTTCCTTATACGCAGTCGATTCAGGTACAAGTTAATGAAGCTCCCCATTGTGCTTACTGAACATATGCTGATAATAAATGAAACAGAATCATTATACATAGAAATAATAATTTGTTCGCTTTTGTTATGAGATGTCTTCTTAAATAAAGCTAATTCAAGTGGATACATATTCGTTATATTTCGTAAGAGACACGTGCTGCTGGAAATGAAGTCGCATACAGGGATATGAACATTTTGGCAGAAAGACTGGAATGTGCTTCCAATTTATATTTACATTTCTCTGAAAGCCACGTAATTTAAAATGTATTATGTCGCCGTCCTCTGACTAATATTAAAATAATGCCTGGAATCTTGGTTTATAAATTTAATGTAATACTTAGTGTGAAAGAAGTACTTCCAAAAGTTTAGCTTTTTATAAGTTACGCAAATAAAATAGAATATGATAACACGCGAAATGCATGTTCTTCCTTTAAAAATTAAAATTTAATTTCGCTACGGTGTTGGAACTGTTACCAAGAAACGACTGGTGTAGACAGCAGACTGAAAAGACTTAGTGTGTCCTGAAATTAATTGTAATTACAGCGAGGGCGCTACAGTTACTTGTAGTTACGAGTTTTAAGAGGCCAATAAATTCAATTACCAATTCAACTCCCATCTGTAGTCACTTAAATACGTGACAGTATAATATGCCGTCCTATTTTCCACTAGTCATATTGTTCCTAGTCCAGATGTTTACATAAAGGTATTTGCTTAATTAATTAAGCACTAGTAAGGATGAGTCGTCAGCCTCACGCCCCGGCCACGTTACCCCCAGTCGTCTAGCCCGTAGCCTGTCGCTATACCGACCAAGCTATTCCTACTTACATAGAATATTAATTTTTCATGGTGTTCCACAGAGAGCCCCAGTACAGACAAGTCATCAATAAAAATCGAATGTACACCTGAACATATTCCCCTTCACTAACGCTTGAATAAGCTGCAAGCGAAATGCCATTCGTATTTCAAATTATCGATAATAAACCTATAAAATTTCGCTGTTAATCATTGAAACATGTCAGTGGATACTTGTGTGTCTACGAAATATAACAAACACCGAATGTAAAATACTTACGGATGTGTAATCAGCTCCCCGAAACACCTGTTCAACACCCATCCACGTAGTCAAGGGGATGAGCAATAATAGCCTGGGATCCCTCAGCAGTTTAAAAGTGACAACCATGAGACGAAATCCTGACACTTCTGTACCAATTGCCGTCCCTTCTTTATTGTATCTGGAAAAGAGAAAACAGTTATGAATTATTTCATTGTAGACTATGCACTAAAACAATTACAAAATTATTATTATCACCCATAAACACATAATTAATAACCAATGTATTAAATGAAAATAATTTGTAAGAGGAGAAAAAAAATGTTTCCGCCCGGGATCGAACCGGGGACCTTCCGCGTGTTAGGCGGATGTGATAACCACTACACCACGGAAACCGGCGAGTGATGAATATGATCCATTTAGGATATCAGAATTCTGTGATATTTTACGTTTATACACGAGGGAAAATAGGTATATTCGAGATGAACTCAACTGAAAATACCCAATTATAATTCTGAACTATAGATATGTAGCTTGTGAATGCTCGAGAACAATGTGTGAAAGAAACAGAAAATAACATAAGTTGGGAAATAATAAGCACACAATGAGGATTTTAATAATTTGTACTCTTCCTCCGATATTGGCAGGTAGATTGAACCAAGGCCGAGACATATTGCACTTCTTGTGAAATTGAGAAAACTTCACAAAATTTTTGTAGGATATCCTAATGGGAAGATACCCATACATGAATGGAAGGATGATATACAACAGATCTTAAAGAAATACAACGTGAAAGGGCAAATTGGATTCAGCTGTCTCAAAATAGAATCAAAGGGTAAGGTGTTGTCAGTGCTATCATACCATCGTCGGTTGACTTTTGGGTTTCATACAAAATGCCATGTTTAGCCAAGCACCTTAGTTTTTAAAGGAAGGCTATTTAGGAGGAAATCATATATAAAAATGATGACATAGCTTTTTGAAGAGCTCAGTAGCCTCTGGAACACTAGTAAAAGTAAAAGCAAAGCTATCCCTGTACCAGGCCGTGAAGGGCCATAGGGTTGCGAGACGTTGAGGGTCCCACATTATCTAGACAATCGGTTCACAGTTGGCAGTAAGGTTGTCAGCCTTACGCGCCGGCCGCACTTTACTCCCAAGGAAAATGATTTAATTAATTCCTAGTACTTATTTCTGTTAGAGGCTGAGTCAACCCCAGGGCCATAGTGCGACTGGAAGGATTAGGTCAATTGAAAAAAATACAGTGACCTCATCGGGACTTGAACTAGCGACCTCCCGGCATGTAGCAAAGCCCCTCAACCAGCTACGCTACCGCGTGTAGGACTGGGGCAGGTTTTCTCCAAGTACTTAAGTTTCACCCGCCAGATCTAATTATCATTAACTGACTGCTCCATATTCATTAAACATCCCAGTGTTGAATTGAATTGAATTTATTTACATTCTATAAATCCTAAGCAGGTTAGTACCTTTGGATACAGAACAAGTCAAAAGGTTACATACATAAGTACAGGCAATTTTAGCTTAAAAATTAATATAACTTAATTTTACATAATTCTCTATTTACATTGAAGTATTCATCTAAAGAGTAGAAGGAATGAGCATGTAGATAATTGATGTTACATAATCCTGATATTGATGGCACCATTAAACAACTAACTTAAAAAATTCTCTGATTTATCAGATTGATATATAGCAGCAAGAAAGTAAATGTAACTGAAAATCTACTCAACAAAATAATTTGTAGGGTTCTGTGGTGTAAGAAGTATAGAAAATGCATTTCTATGAGATTTTTTTATTTCATTTAAGGTTTCAACCTAATGGGAGAATGCTGAACGCTTTAAGATGTCTTGTATCCTAATAAAAAGTCCCAATGCACTTTATTAAAATTTAGTCATAATGAGATCATGTGGTGATATCCTGAAGTTACTTCTCCTGACACCATATTAACAATATTACTTGTATTTAGCTTAATAAAAAACACTTCTGTTATTTGCATTATTATCCTTATTGGAACCCTATCCAATGGTACTGGGGGCTCTTTCCCAGGGGATTAAACAGTCGGGGCATGTAGCTGACCACTCACCTCCATAGTGCAGAAGTAAAGAATGGCACTGAACCATACATGTTCATTGCATGGTGCAATGGCATTTTCTTGCTTTTGAAAACTAAGATATGTGACTTTAGGTAATTATATTGAAATTATTCCTAAATAATAAATAGAATTAATTTTCCTTGTATCAAAATCTCATGTATATTTCTATTTTGAAGTGCTGCCCTGGACTAGAGGTGGCCCTCTGTACAAGTTGAGTTTGACAGGCCTGTTGTACAGGATCATGTCCAGCACACTAGGCCTGTTAAAAAAAATTTGCACATTGATTAAGTTGAAGCTGAATTTCTGACACTTACCTTTTCAGCGAAGTAACTCCAAATATGATGATGAGGGAAGCAAGTACCATGCATGCTAGATAGATACTTGCAACTGTATAAATTTTCTCGTTGGCTGGCCTCTCAAGATTAGGGTTCTTACCAGTTGCTTCACTACCAGGGCAGAAATTATAGCCACAAGTCTCTAGCACATCAGTGATATTAATGTTGTTATTGTCTTCTTGAGATTTACCAGCTGAAAATACTATTAAATCAAACTTAAATCAATATATGAGAAACAAAACAGCAGATTAGTAATTTTATGTTAGAGAGAAGCACCTCAAAGAGAAGTAATTTTTATGTTAGAGGAAGCAATCTGAAGGTAGATGTATAGTACCTGAGAATTTCACTATGGAAAAAGTGCATAACTCATGCTATTGCTAATGTAAGTACATACAAAGTATAAGGATAAAAGTGAATTAAGAAATTAACAATATTCAGGAAGTCACAGCCTACTGTTACATTACCGATAAGGTGGAAACAACTGGCATTGCTGATAACTGCCCAGCCTTACCACTCTTCAATTCTAAAACCATGTATTTTATACATCTAATAAAGGTTCAGGTAGCTGAATTCCTTCTGCACCACTGTATCTTCAAGCTATCCCTATTAATTTCTAGTTTAAAGTTACCAGAATAGTACTAGACAGTTCAAAGTAGTACTAAGTCTTGTACAGGCTAAACCATGATAAGACAGGTAGAATTATGTGTAATATTACAGAATGTAAGAATAAGTGATGCAGAAGTCATACAAGCTTTAAGAAGATAGTTCCTGTAATATTCTGAAGTCTGTATTGAAGTTTCGAAAAGATGTTCTTGAATGGAGACTGATCCAGCAGAATAAGAATCTTTCCTACCTTGCACCTATTGATGGAAGCAGACCAGTTTCTGAAACGTTATGATTGAAAACCTCGCTCAGTGTCGTTTGAATCATTCCAGCGTAGGACAAAAGCGACTCAGGTTTTTCATGTACAATGGTGAGCTTCGGTGCGAGCAAATTTGTCGGTTCACTTGCCAGAGTTAGCTCCTCGCAATATTCACATAGGTTACATAATGTTTCATTTGAACTTAACATTTTCAAAATATCTTGCATATTGTACAAAATCTCATGCATAGATTATAAAAACTATGAACGTTCAATTTTATTTTTCAGTTCATTCTTCCCACATTATAACTAACTAACTCTGCTAAGTGTGTCTAGAACAGCCTTCGATTTTTCAGCATCTTGTTTTACAACATGCAGACTGCCTTACCTGATGATGAGATGAGATTACCCCACACTTCAGATGTTTGGTACAGCATGAAAAAAATGCCAAAGAACCTAGCCAAGATGGTTGCTGGTGGAAGCCCCACACGTTCAGCATATGTTTCAGCAACTCTCTTGATGTAGACACTTTGTGAACACCACAGGGGTCCACCTCCTAAGCCAACCAGCAGGGCAGTTGGTATCAAGGTGTAAAATTTGGCATACATCTGGGCTCCAATATATGGCATATAGGCCACCTGCGATACCACAAGAGTCCACTTGCACCCCAGCCATCTAGAGCCGAGTTGACAGCATTTATTGAAATTAGGAATATACAAACAAACAAACACACAAACAAACAAACAAACAAAGTTAAGTCTTGTAAATATTTATGTCATCTCCATACAACTATCGCTCAAAAATAGTTGGCCCATTTTCCACTTACTATATAATTGATTTTGCTTTCTTGGAAACAAAATAGGACACAGAAAACGCATTTGAAATGAATTGTAGGGTGTGTTTAATGTTGTAAAACTTAGCAGTTTATGATCCATGTGAAAGACTCTGTAGATGGTAAAAATGGTCGGAACGCGGAACACGGTGGGCCGATAATATTTGTATTATAAAGATTTCTGTCTCCTGATATATAACGGCGTATAGTCCTGTGAAAATCAATCGATGTTTAAGAGGTACGTATCATCTCCATCTTCAGGTTTGAAGAATGAGCCTAACAGGAAACCAACAATAAGTCACACCTATCTTCTTCTGTCGGAGTATTCTTCCTGCTTTCATGTGTATTGTGCTTTGTGTTGTGTCTTGCTTCTGTGACTGTGTGTGTTATACTGCTGGGCCTGCTGGGTATGTGTGACACACATTGAGATACGACATAAGGATGACAAATCCTGAACAGTTTTAATATTTTTAATATTTAAAATTTATCAATATATATGACGAATATATATTTTAGTTATTTTAGTATAAAGACAACAGGGCATGCAATGAAGTAGTTCGACGTACATCGAAAAGCACCTGAAGATGGCACTTTAGTGCTGAAACATGTAGTGCAAGAGAGAAGAGTAAGGTGAATAAATGTATGCACTGTAAGACGGTCAGAATAAATCATGGGCATAGAATCTACATAAACTTCTCCGTTCACTTCGGTTTTTCTAGATCTTACACATACGATAGGACTCCTTGGGCGGGTGATCAGCTCGTCGCAAGGCCTCTACCTGTACACAAACACAGAAAAACGCACACACACAAACTAAACATCCATGCCCTGAGTAGGATTCGAACCCGCGATCCCGGTTTCCAAGCGAACGAAGACAGTACATGCCTTAGACCGCTCGGCTACCGTGACCGGCAGAATTTACATGTATCGCTGTTTAATTAAGAGCGATACTTGTGGCGTCTTAAGGCAATGAAAATTACTGCATAAATGAAGCGGCCAGGAACCAAACAGATGTATACTTTCATCTACCCCTATTTCCAATCTTGGTAATAGCCCAGATGTTGAGAAAATTACAGTTATTAACTTAATTGTAGGGTGTAATGCATTCTGCAGTATGAGTTTACGTACTTTATTAGAAGGACTGGTAAAAATATGGCGGACACAGACAATCCCACGTAGATTGTCATGAGGGCTCGTGTGCCCAGCCCTTCAGCTGCGTTCACCGAACTTTGCAGATGGCTTGTGCCTATGAATGCCGTGAAATGAACCATGAAAGCGAGACTGATCATTAGTATGTCTCTAATTATCCGCCACTTTTCAATGATATCTTTACCTTTAATCACTTTCTGTTTAAGTCTTTCGTCCATACAAATTCCATCCACATGTGTAACATTTGTCATTTTGTTATCGTCTACAAGGAATATTTTTGGAATGGTTAAACCTTTCATACTGTCTGGAGATTTGTTTGTGCGTGCTTCGGACTTTATTTCACTTTTAACTATCTGAATTGAATTGTAGTTATTTTCTTTAGACCTATCAGTGATTTCAGCATCGCCACTTTCTACGACACTATCAACTGTTTCTCTTTCACTGCCAGAAGTATCATGAAGCCTCTTCGCGGTCGCCATAGTCACTACTTGAACATTCAAAGCAGACACTGCACATGTTTCTCGAATCCTGCACCTAATAAAACTAATTCACTCCTCAGTTTTAATTACAGCATATTAGTTCTGATAGCAGGTGTAATTTAAGTAATCTCTCCTTGTGAGTTGCATTGTCTTCACCTTATCACTGGTTTCGGTTTACCGGTTAAATCTTCAGATATTGTTCTTCAAGCGATAATGTTATATTTGATAGCGAGCTGACACTGACACAGCAATTTCTTGATTATTTCCTACGTAACCTTCTTGCTGTGACAATGTGAAATTAAGACAAACACAAATGGCACGATTCAAATTAGATACCTGTGACATGTAGACCCATTTTACGGAACGAGTCAGTGAACACGTTTCCGTGACATAAGCTCTCAACAATAGAAGGACATCCATTGCTAGGTAACGAACCGGTAGGCTCGCGTTCTGGACGAAAACAGACGTGCATTATCAGGAAATGTGCATGTTTTCTGTGTTGTCTCTTCGAGGCTATATAAGTAATACAGAACAAAGATCAGAGACAGCTGTGGTGAGTGCAAACCCAATGCCTTTAGGTATAACCGGGCGACTCTGTTCCTGAGGGATATAAGGACGATCGCAGACAACTACGACATACATGTTCTGGTGGTCTAGCGGTAAGGCACTGGCGTTGTAAATGTAAGGTTCGTGGTTCGAAAACAGAAGAATTTTTGTAATGAGATTTTTATGGAATTATATAGCGAAATGTAACATAAGAGGAAGATTAAAGGTCGAAAATTTCTGTGGCATCGGTGGCTTAGTGGTAAAACACCGGCGTAGTGAACGAGAGTTTGAAGGTTCGAGACCAAGTATAGTTTTGTGATTTAGAAAGTAAGTTAATTGATTTTTCTGGAATTATAACCGAAGGTGCAGCTTAAGAGGAAGATAGAAGAAAATAAATTTCAGTGGTGCTGGTGGCTTAGGGGTAAGACATCAGTCTAGTGTTCAGAAGGTCCCTGGTTCGAAACCAGTAGGATTTTTGTGAAAAATAAAATGGAAAGAAATTAGGAGATATGGTAAAGGAGGAGGGAGAGATAGAGGGAGGGAC